GACTGTATCAGAATGCAGGGGGAATTGTCCGATCATGTGATTTCCGGACCAGTGATCGGCTGATCTCCGATCCCAGTTCTATATCGAAATGTAATTTTCCAACCATATATAATCATATGCATAAAATACATAACGTTAGAACCATAGGACAAATTAGATAAAAAAAGAATATTTTTTTAAACTTGGAACTGAGCAAAAACATAGAGGAAGTTTATATAATGTATGCACAATATATCCTTTTTTTATTTTATTTAATTATTTTCTTATCGTTATCGTTTCATACATATTAACAGAGAAGTGCGACAGTAGATATAAATGCGATTCTGCGATGTCACGATTTCGTCTCATTTCACGCAGTGTATCTTTTTTTATTTAATTATTTTCTTATCATCATCATACATATTAACGATTGCATAATATATCCTTTTTTTCTTATTATACATATTAACGATTTCATTAAAATTATCTAGTTAATGAAAAGTATTTACTAATATCATCTTCAAAATAATTAAATAGAACCATTGTTGCTTACATTCGGGAATTTTTATAATCCTTTAACAAGTTCCTTTGTTATACATCCTAATGCAAAAACAATGTCCAAGGAGTTGATCCACGCCAAGTTGGATCACGTAGTCGCTTGCGTTGTGCTGTTTCGATATCATCAAGGATAGTAAATAGACGGCTTGTGTTATCAACAACTCGTGAAACATGACGCAGATTATTGGCCGCGAGTTCTTGTTCAAGATGCTCTGCCATACGCCTTATGGCCGCTACCTTTAGTTCACAAATATGTCGTATTTCCGGATCAAAAGCGTCATCATCTTTATCCATCTCAATATACCCGCCATCCAATATGCTAGACTGTGAAGTTGAAGCTTGGAATATATTTACCTCTTCGGATGTGCTTTGCGATTTTCTGGCGTTCCAGACAAGAAAAGGATAGTCTTCTCGCCGCTGAAAATTTTTGTATATTAGACGAATGCCTTGTGGGTCAGTTAATTTTGCTTCTTCAACTGCGCGGTGGACCAAATGCTTGCAAATGAGGAAACGACTATAAAGAAATGATGGGCAGCTACATATCCAACGATCCAGATCAATAAAATAGTGTTTGTCATATCCATCAGTAATCAGTTTCGTGACGAGCTCCTTCCATTCACTTTTGAACTCGTCAAACCAAGAAGGTGCCGTTCGTCTCAAGCGTATTTGGTTGAGACGAGTGATCTGGTCGGGAAGAATACGCGTACAAATGATCCACACAAGATAATCCAATCGTGGTCGGTTGAACCTGTAAAGATAACAATGTTTGACGACCCTCCAGTGTGCTTCAATAAGCATATTCGTTTTGCCAAGTGGAATCGTCATTCGTGTCGATCGAGCCCAGAGTATCCACCTTGTCATTTTGTACCAGGCAGGCCACAAGTATGCCCAGAGCAAAACGAGATCATTTTCAGCACAAAAATTATATATTTCGTGGACTGCATTCTTTCGAATTTCATCAGCCATTAGGAACTGTCCAGCAGAATTAATAGGGATTTTTGGGTGCATATTAAAATGTTTTCTAATAAAATTGATAACCTGATCTTGCAAATCTGGCGGACATATTATGTAGTATTCAGGCTCAGTACGTTCTAGATCAGGCTTGAAAGTGGGGTCGACGAAATCAAACTCTGCCACAGCTTCATCCGGTTGATATTGGTTACGATGAATTCGCTTATTACTCTTGAGCTTTTCTTTGACGGCCTTCTCAATATGCCACAAACATAGTTGTACATCAACATTGGGCCATACTTCTTTCGCAGCATTGATTTCTGCGAAGTCTTTGTCAGTGTAAAAGTATTGTGGCTGTAACCCCTTGTCATAGAGAGAACGAAGGAAGCCAACAAGTGCCTTTGTTCTTAATCCCGTTTGTTCATCATTGTTTGGTGCCTTCGTAGTATTTAAAATGAGATACGCTACTGGAAATCCTGCACCTTCAACATTACCAATAATCCCATAGAGCTCGAAGCGTCCCTTGGCCGTTTTGTAAGTTGCGTCACAATGTACACTCGACAATGGTAATAACTTAGCTAATAAAGGGGTCGTGAATCCGATCGCTGTAACCAAGTCGGTATTCCAATCGAAGCAAAGCTTGCTGTCAACAGCATGGGGACCTTCTAAAAAGCGACGTGCAGAAACTACATGGTTCTCGTCTGATTTATAGAAGCGCTGGCAAAACGTTGACCACCAATAATGGATTTGTTTCGCAGTAACAAGTGAAACATCATACATTTGACGGAGATGTGTTCGCAACTGCACGGGATCCATATGAAGATTCTGCATGATCTCGTGCTTGACCTCTGGTGGGGTTGTAATATCGACAGGTTTCTCATGCTGAATATCATGAAGAAACCTCACCATCGCTTCTTTTGCTGACATATCGATGCGGATGATTAGCTTGCCATGACAGTTAAAACGTGACATTCTCTTTCGGTTTGACTCCTTATACTCACGCTCAAGTTCATAGCATTGTGAGCATGCAAGATAAAACAAACCGACTCCATGATGGCGTAATGACATTTCAGGTCCAGTTGTGAATACCCAATCATATCCATCGAACCCTTCAATCTCGTCAACTATTAGTTTTACCATATTCTTCGCATCATTGTGTGCAGCAACTAATGCATTATCATCGAGCTCAATGCGAAGATTAAAGGACAGCGTGTTATTCTGCTCAAGGTTAGCGGTTTTACTGGTTATATACTCAACAATTTCAAAGAATGACATTTTCTCATATGCCGCTTCTTCCTCTCTTTTTGACTGATGGCTGTTAGCAGAAGATTGCTTTTCAATTCTCTTCCTAGATCTCGCAATCAAGCAACTTGAACATGTTTTAAATACTTTGCCCTCATAAAGAAAGGCTTCTGCAGGTAATGTATGTTTGCAAGTAGTACAGAAATTCATACTGTGAAAAAGGGAAGAAACGATTCGATTCGATTCAATAAAGCAACAACGGCCTTATTAAACAATCAAGATAGACTTTAATTTGTTAGTTAAAATGAAGTTTATTTTAATATACGATTACAGTATTTACAACAGGATTTAAAGTGAGAATTTTATTGATTTAAAGAGATTGATTCACCAATATCGAATAACTTTTTCCTACGCGAAAAACCTCCTCTTAAATATCTTCTGAATCACTATTGATGAACGCGAAAACCACATCACTTAAATGATGCTTAATTTTCTAATACAATTCTCCACCCTTCCTTATTTAGTAATCGATATAAATCATCACCCTTCCTTATTTAAAGATCGATATAAATCTCCATCCTTCCTTATTTAGTAATCGATATAAATCGCCATCCTTTCTTATTTAATCTCTCGTTAGTTTGTAGTGTAAGCCCATTCGTTAAAAACTTTATTGACAAATATGTTATTCTGAACCGTCACTATAGTTGTGCTTAAAATGTTAATCCACTTTATTTTCTGATCTCGTCTAGCTCATAGTATAAACCTGTTCGCTACTGGACCTAATTATAGTTTAATAGTCATAACAAAATTAACAAAATTAATAAAAATAATAATTAATAATAATAATAATAATAATAATAATAATAATAATAATAATACTAATAATAATAATAATAATAATAAATACAAAAACAACCTACACTGTAAGCATTCGAAAATAAATATAAAACAACAATAATAATAATAAATTAAGTAGCAAATGTTATCAAATCAATCAAGTTACGCGATTGATCATTAACGTTAACAATGACGAATGTCGGACCAAATAATGCAGATCATTTGGTCCGGAAATCACGTGGTCGGACGATTCCCCCTACACGCTGGCGATTTC